TAATGTCCCGCTAATGCAGCATCCTATTAAAGGTCCACACTCTGTGAGGAGGGCGTCCATGCTAAAATTAGAACAGGTGCCAGCTTGTTTAATCGAAGCACCTGTAGCACAGCTGGATGCAGCTAATGTGAACAGACAATAACAAGTAGCAGTTGAAAGGAAGCCGTCAGGATTGGCTTGTATTTGAGCTGGATTACTGAAGCAAAGTCATCCATTCTCAAATGTAGTAAGAACCCAGTACTACATTTTGTATTATATCGGCCTTTGGGTATTTAGGTATTTGGATTCTATGCATTTGTAATTATACATTATTGATGTTTTAAATATATAATGGCTGTTAAAAATATCTTAATAGGTCAAGTCAGGCAACTTCATCACACAAACAATACTGTAGATATTGTAAAGAGTACCATTTCAGTCTTTTGTTGTTTTAAATGTCCACCCAAGTTAGTTTGCACCCTTGCATCTAATTAAATAGAAGTCTTGGGCAAAAAAACATGCAACCTGTTAGTTTTGAATTTACACAGGGATGCCAAAATCATGGACAATAGTATAACGAATAGACGCATTAATTATTAAATATTTTAGAGCTGCATGAGCATATTTAATATTTACATTTATATTTGCGTTGCTCCATATATTTTATATATGCACATACACTACTGTTCAGAAATTTGAATTATTATTATTATTATTATTTTTTAATTGATGTTTTAAATATATAATGGCTGTTAAAAATATCTTAATAGGTCAAGTCAGGCAACTTCATCACACAAACAATACTGTAGATATTGTAAAGAGTACCATTTCAGTCTTTTGTTGTTTTAAATGTCCACCCAAGTTAGTTTGCACCCTTGCATCTAATTAAATAGAAGTCTTGGGCAAAAAAAACATGCAACCTGTTAGTTTTGAATTTACACTGGGATGCCAAAATCATGGACAATAGTATAACGAATAGACGCATTAATTATTAAATATTTTAGAGCTGCATGAGCATATTTAATATTTACATTTATATTTGCGTTGCTCCATATATTTTATATATGCGCACACACTACTGTTCAGAAATTTGAATTATTATTATTATTATTTTTTTAAAGAAATTAATGCTTTTAATCAGCAAGGATGCGTTACATTGATCTAAAGTGACCGTAAAGACATTTATAAAGATTTTTGATAATAATAGCACTAAATCGGCATATCAGAATGATTTTTGAAGGATCATGTGACATTAAAGATTGGAATAATGGCGGCTGAAAAATTCAGCTTTTCCATCACAGGAAAAAATTGCATTTTAAAATGTTTTTACTGTATTTTTGCTTAAATGAATGCAGCCTTGGTGAACATAAGCTTTTTATTAATTTTTTTCTGAAAGAAGATTTATCAACTTTGACCAGTAGTAAATGCATTTCTAGTGCTTGTTTACATGCTCAGCACAACTCTTATTTATGCTGCAAAGCTATGTTTGATGATAGTTATGAACTCTAGTTGCATGCCATTATTTTCATGTCCGCAGTTGCCCCTTCTTGTCTCCTACTGTGGCTAATTTGCAACAAGCTTCTGCATTTACATGGACACTTTTCTTCCAGTGTGCGCTCTCTGGTGCTGTAATTTTGCTCATTAACAAAAAGAGAAAAAAAACCTTAATGCTGATGCTGACTTGTTTGTGCTACTTGCAGGCACTGACAAAAGACAGTCGCTCCAAATTAAGGGTAAATATTTCACTGTATTTTTCACTGTAGTGAATGTAGGTAAAGCTAGAGTGTCCCTCACTGGCCTTCAAACGCTTCAGACTGCTCGTAACAAGTGTTGTCATCTTTGCAGGTAGGATGCACTCTGTGTTTGTAATCAGATAGTAATTAACCTTTCCGCCAGCTAAACAAGGTCAGTTGAATTAGGATGACCTTTTCAGCAACTGTTCATCTGCAGAGAAACAGAGCTTGTGCTGCAGCTGCCGCCCCTCTGTGCACCACACACACACACACACACACACCGGTACGCGTATATACCGCCGAATCAGACGTTCCATCACACAGCATTGTTCAAATGTCTACTCAGACACACATCTTTGTACTACAACAAGGCAAGGCAGGAAGGAATTGAGAAAGTGCGAGTGTATAAGAGAGACAGACAGACAAGGAACTCAAAATCGTATGTTCTTGATGGTTACTTGTGCATTACATGTATTCTAAAACAGATTTCAGCGCGAGCGTTAAGAACCAAAGAAATCCATCACAATAATGTCATCGGAGCTACTGCGAGTATGAGTATTTTTGCCTTGACTATGTCAGAAGAATATTTTAGCAAATTTTTACTGTGACTAACCAGTTTGTAAGACATGAGACGTAAATAAACATTTGTAAACACATGCACATTTGTAAGACGTAAAATATATGTAAACCTATGCATCATGGCATTGTGCATATGTGCAAGCCGTTTTTAAATCCAACTGAGAAAAGAATTCGATTTAAGCATTTACATGTTTTATTTTTTGCCGTTGATCAGATATTTTCAGGTCTACATCTGTCATTTAATTCAATCAAATTTTTATTGAGCTCAGTTGTAAAATTTGAAGTGTTTACATGAAGGCTTTTCAGTCTGAGTCTATTATAAACCGATTAATTTGATCAAATGTTATATTTCATAATTTTTTATTTTATTATTAATATTTTGATTTTTCATTTCATACTGATTAATTTATACACGCGCGCACACACACACACACATATATATATATATATATATATATATATATATATATACTTTTAATATATAAATATTTGAATTTTAAAAAGGAGTGCAAAAATGTGAATGTCATTTATATTCTAGGTCCCTTAAATTTTTTTTTTTTAATCCCATATTTTTAGCGAGGTCACAGACTCAGAAAAAGCAAGACGAGAAGCAATATGAGAATAAAGTTCAAATATTTCGAGAATAAAGTCAAAATATTGCATCTCTTTGAGTATGACATATGGTATAATTTCTGCTAATAGTCTCACATATATTCAAATTTTGGTGGCCTGGCAAATTCTCCCAGTGCTCCCAATCCGGGCCAATTGCATGCGCAATATAGGCTATACACTCAAAATATTATAACTTTAGTTGCTATTATTTAATTCTCGTAATTTTGACTTTATTCTCAAAATATTTAGACTTTAATATCGTAATTGTTTTTTTTTTAACGTGGCACTAAAATGCCGTTGTAGAACTTACATTGCGATTTATAATGTTGCAATTATTAAAGTCGCAATTGTTAATTTTAAAGACACATTATGAGACAAAGTTGCAATTGCAGGAAGTGAAGGCAAAATTGTTACTCTGGGATAGATGCAGACCTCATTATAGAACTGTAAGATAGCAATATGCACACAAATAGATACAAATATTAAGATCCCCTTGTGATTTTCATGTTGCTTTTTTAACAAACATCTTTTAATCAGGACAATATTGTTTGTCAAGAGAGTGTGAAAGAACTGGAGTGTGTGTGTGTGTGCATAGTATCAGTGTGGGAGAGCATGATTCACAAACATGAGTCATTTCTCCTTCCAGCATCAGCTCCGATTTTTCATAGGAGCTTCATTCTGCATAACATCCATATCATCACTGCCTTATCACAAATGCACGACTACAGCTGTGCCTTTCAGAATGAAAGCACACTCACGCTGCACATCGATATATTGAGTGAAGTTCACCGGGTTCTTGTTTCTCGCTTTTCTATGTATAGGGTGTATGTGGGTGGACTGCACACTTCTTTTTCTCTATTGATCCTACAAATTATGTCAGTGTGGCGTTTAACTCTTGTCTCTTTTATAGAGTGTGATGATATGCCACACTGCAGTCAGATATGACTAGATAAATGTGCTGTCTAACATGTAGTTTAGAGACGCAGGTTTAATGTAGTACTTGTTGAGTCAAGTCGGTGACTTATCAGAGACCCTGCTTATTTGTAGTGAAGTAATATTCTGGGTTAAATGCACTTTAAGCTTTAATCGGCAGCATCTGTGACGTGCTGCGAGTGGCCAAAAGGTCATTTCAACATGTCCTTTTAGAAACTTAACAAAAGCAGTTTGTGTTTAAATGTGTTTAAATTAATTTGTTTTTGTTAAAGAAATAGTTGGACTAAAAATGTAAATTTGCTGAAAATGTTCTCACTCTCAGGCCACCCAAGATGTAAATGAGTTTGTTTTTCATCAGAACAGATTTGGAGAAATTTGTCATTGCTCACCAATGGATCCATTGCAGTGAATGGGTGCCGTCAGAATGAATGTCCAAACAGCTGATAAAAACATTACAGTAATCCACACGACTCCAGTCGATCAATTAATATCTTGTAAAGTGAAAAGCAGCGTGTTTGCAAGAAACGTCCATCAAGAAGCTTTTAACTGTAAACCGTCGCGTCTTGCCAAAATACCATAATCCATATTAATCTCTTCCACATTCATTTCTCCAAATCGGTTCTGAAACAAACTCGTGTACATCTTGGATGGTATATTTTGATAGTTCACCCAAATTTTATTTTTGGGTGAACTATTCCTTTAATATTTTAAATTAGATTTTGTAGTGCTGTTAATATAAAAGTTAAATTTTTTGTGTATTTGTTACTGTTATTATTATTATTATTTAATATATGTCAATGTAGTTTGTATTAAGTTTATTTTACTGAAACTTAAACTAAACAAAAATGAGAAATGTTGCCTTCCAACTAACTGAAATCAGTTTAAATACTTATTTTTGTTTATATACATTTTGTTTAGGTACTATTTATTTCATGTAATTAATTAGTTAATGATAACCGTGGATATGAACTGAAATTCTGGTCACAGTGTTTAGTGACTTTACATGACAATGACAGGAGTTGAAATATTTTATCAGAGAAAATGTAAAAGATTTTTATCACATTATTCTTACATTAACAAGTGTAATGTAGATGACGTCTAGCTAGGAATATGACAGTTCTGGCCGATACAGAAAAAAAACGATTTCTAGTTATTGCCGAATTTTTTTTACTATATATAATTTTCAAATGCTACCAGTAATCAAAATCAGACAGCAAGCCAAACTGAAACAACATCCTCACAATATTACGATTGATAAGTCTTAACCAAGGACTGAATTCCTGATTCTCAGCACCACACTTGGTTCCCAAAGTGCTCCTAAAACCAACATTATCATCGCCAAAATTTCAGCATTCAAGGATGGATTATCACTTCTGACCTCATAAAATATGCACTCAAAGTGACTTTTTCCATCTTGAAAATGGACATAAGCACTCCCATCTGACTTTATTCTCTGGCAGGAGGGACTTGTGGACGTACGGAAAGAGGCCGGAAGACAGTGGAGTCAAAAATCACTTGGCGGACCAGTCCTCTGTGCTTGAACCAAAGTCCAAACCCCTCTTCACAAGCCCCAGTAAGGTGCCAAGTTCCTGCGGTCTCTCTCGTACACATCGGGAATGACCCCGTATGGTGTCTGGATCATTTTCACAGAGTTCCTGCCAAACAGTTTCCTCTCGTACTCAATGAGCTGTCGCCAGAACCCTCCATTAGGACGAATGACGGGTCGGCGGGATTTGACCCAAGCGTGAGCCTCGGCCAGGGAAACTCTGTGGTACTTCATGAGGTAGGCCAAACAGAGCGAGGCGGAGCGGCTCACCCCAGCCGCGCAGTGCACTAGCACGGCTCCCCGTTTGTGGCCCACGCTGTGGATCTTATCAGCCACACTGTCAAAATAAAGCGAGATCGGAGAATGAGGCATATCGGCCAGTGGCACTTTCACGTACTCCATGTGTGGCCAGTTGAAGTTGGGTAGCTCGATGGTGGCGTTCACCACACAGGTAATCCCTTTGGACAGGAGGAGGTTGCGGTTGGACGCCACATTCCCCCGGCCGAGGAACAGGGAAGGAGTGATCTGGGCGATGCCCCCCAACAGGCTGCTGGTCTCGGGCAGCAATCGGGGGACGGCTGTGGGCACCACTGAACTGCGGTGGTGGTGGTGGGGATGATGGTGGTGATGGTGATCTTGGTGGTGGAAGAACCCCTGACTTCGGGAACCCATAGTGGAGTGGAGGCAGGAGACGGAGAAATAGAAACCTTGAGGTGGCGCCAGGGTGTCTTTTAGTTCTCCTTGGTCATCTCAAAGCGAACGGTGATATCATACAGGTCATTGGGTGCACCTAAAACAAACCAAGAGTCAGTTTGCTTGAAATAAATAGAAACCTTTGTTAGGAGGTTTACAGCAGGGGTCTCCAACCCTGCTCCTGGAGAGCTTCCATCCTGCAGATTTCAGCTCCAACCCCAAACAAACACACCTGAACCAGCTAATCAAGGTGTTTGGGGTTACTTGATAATTACAGGCAAGTGTGTTTGAGCAGCGTCAGAACGGAAGTCTGCAGGATGGTACAACAGATATCCAGGAGCAGGGTTGGAGACCCCTGGTTTACAACATATGTAGAGTCAGTGAGGAACCGTCAGGGCCCTCAGAGAGGGCCTAACTTTTTGTAAAAACAATTATAATAATTTACCATTTTTAAATGTTTTAAAATATAGTATTTTAAATAAAAAATAAATAAAAATTCATAATTTGAGAAACATCATCTAAATAAAATACAATTTCTCTGAGAAAAAAAAACAGCCTCTTCAGTGAATGGGTTAAATGAACACCGCCCATTTTCTCCATATTTGAATGTTTCCGCCTAGCGTCTGCGGCTCCGTGATTGGAGGTCCAGCTATGAAATTACAGAGGGCCAAGCAATAGTAAATCAATGAGAGAGTAATTTCGAATGACAGAAAGATTGACCAATCATATCGTTTCTCTAAATGGGCGGGCCTTGTTATCGCTAGCTTTGACAAGTTCCACCCACTGTGGAGATCTCTATTGGAAAAAAAGATATATGCTGATAAACAAACTAGTCGTTATTCATGTCACGATGGAAGCCGCAAATAACGTAAGTGAAGACATTTACTAGGCTGCTGTCTGTGCCAATAATATTTATTATAAACATTGCTTGTTTGTGTGTGAAGTGTCTGTCGCTAATTTGACTTAAATTTAGCTGTTTTATTTTGGTTATTCAGTCACTCTCGCTGTACTGTTTTGTTGTGGTCGCACACCGGACGAGAAGCACAGTGCCCCGGTGCAACACAGACGGCAGTCCAGAACATTTAATCTAGTCTCCAAACAGTCAAAACTTAACTTCAAGAATGAGCAAGTGGTGTCAATGAGTTTAAAGTTCGGGGATCGAAAAAACAACAAACGGGATGAGAAATTGCAATCTATAGCTCACTAATGAATCACAAAATTTATTAGAGCAACAGAAAGACAAATGTTTTGCTGAAAAAATGAACCTAGAATGAAGTCATTATGTACATTAACAATAATTTGGGACAAATATAATGTATTTTAATGGAAAATTATGTGAGTGGCGCGGCAGGATTATTATCGGCGGACAGTCGCCGGTGGTGCTGCCGGTGTGCGTGCACTCATAGAAAACAATGTGTGCGAATATTAAAGACGTGGTCCTCCGGTGTGCGACAACATGCCGACAGGCAAGACAGAGCAGGTTAATTTAGGTATGAAACAAAGTAATCTTTAAAATGTTGTAATTTTTTATGAAATTCAAACAAATATCCTTTTCGTGGTTCTTTAATACATTGTGACAGATCGCTGTAACGCCTCCGTTCAAGTGGCACGTGAACCTATCATCTCTTCCAATTTAGTTAAAGCATGAAATATCCATGAATGATCATGAGAAATACATCTTTTTTCAACTGCAGAAAGTTCAAGTTCAAGTCCACCGATGTTAATCTACTCTCCTGCCCGTTTTGTTTGTTGGACAAAAATGGCAGATTCAGCGTTATGATTGGTCAGATTGCTTGTCAATCAAACTCCCTGCGAAGGGTCAATTCCACGGATTTCATCCTAAACCAAAAATGAGGATCAAATCTGGATTTAAAGGCAAAAACTGGCATGAAAATGTTCTTATGAATACGCTAACTGAAGAGCATGTGTACAAACCTTTTGCGCTCCCTTATACCAATAATTAAGGGCGTACTCACTCGGCACGATTGCCTTGTACCAAGCCCAAGTGCGATTGACCCCGAGTTTCGAAACTTTGAATCGATTCAACCAACTGCTTCGCAAAATAATTCACTTTTTCAAAGTCCTTGAAACGGCACACACTAGTGACGCCTACTGCCGAATGGTGTCAATACAATGAAACAAGCATAAAAACACCTTTTATATTCCAAATGCGAATGTTTTGCTTCGTGTAACCTCCTCTTAAATGCAATTAACAAATCACCTAATACCAGTAAATAAGAAGCATCTGGTATGTCATTTTATTAATTTGTAGGGTTTGTTTTTTTGGAGAGCTTGGTTAATCAGGCCAATACCTACTAATAAATGTGTCATTAAAAATGCCTAAAAAGGTTTCGAAGCTTCACGAAGCAGTTTCAAAAGCGTCCATCACTAGCGTTCACAGTTAGGATAATTCTAGGATCTTCTGAACTTCACCCACTGCACAGATACTATTTAAACTGAACTGAGCTGGATGATAACATCACTGAATTCAACGATGAACTACCTTTAACTGAAAATTGAGTGTTTACTATTGTCATTTTGCATTATTGATACACTATTTTCCTATTTAATACTGTAAAGCTGCTTTGACACAATCTGTATTGTTAAAAGCGCTATATAAATAAAGGTGACTTGACTTGAGCCATGGAAACAAGTACTCTATGTCCGTTTTAAACGGAGAACCTTTTCAGAGTCCAGCGAGGTGCTTTATAAGAGTCGATGACTGAAGCTTCCTTGTTGGTGGTAAAAGACAACATTAGCATGGCTGAATGCTGGTTTAATGGACTTAATTACTGTATGTACCCAGCAGATGTGCCCCTTTGTCAGACTCCCGTCCCTCGAGCTGTGCATGAGAGTGTGGGGGCCATGCGGAGCAAGTGTCTACTGGAACCTGGAGGACCCTTATTAATCAAACCAAGAACAAGGCTTGAAACCTGTTATAAGTGAATTCACTTGGTCAGACAGAAAGCTTGATGTATTACACAGAACAAGAGGGCAGCCCTGTGCCTGTATTCTGGAAGAAAAACATCTTTTTGAAAGTTCGATTTAAAAATAGGGTTGTAAAATGACAATGATTCAACTGAATTATGATTCATTTAAAAAAAGAAAGTAAGGTTTCATAAAATAAAACAAAACAGAATTTTTTTTTAATTCACTGATAAATACCTTTTTTTTTTTTACATGTTTACCAAGCATCATACAGATGGTAATCAATGCAAAGCATACTTGGCACGGTAATACTGATGTAATGAGTTGACAGGTGTGTGTTTATAGAGTATTTTACAATGGCTTTGAATACAGCTAGGCCAATTATAATCAAGGTCAGAAATGATCAATTTTATAACTTCCCCTTTATAATAAATGCATAAAACGTATTCTAATTCTGCTTTTTGTTTTAAGAACTTATACAATTTTAACATTTTTACTTCAGAGATAGTCCATTTCTTTTTATTTTATTATGAATTCAATAACTGCTTGCTAACCTGGCAGCAAGTCCAAGGTTATTCAACTTTTTTTCACAGAAGGAAAAATGTCATTCCCATCACATCCCAAAATCCTCCTGAAGGTTGAGCCAAGGCCATGATCAGATCTTTATTCAGGGATATGCAATAAATATTTTAACACAGATGAACATCAGTTTGAAAGAGATTTCTTGTCAAAAGTGCCCGTAATTGAAGAATCATACTATAATTGATGCACTTTGTCAGATTGATGCATCACAATGCATGCATTTTTACATACCTAGTTAAAAGCCTTGCTTAAACTCTGCAATGTCCATATTCACATCACACACACTAGTAATGTATACAATTACTTCCAGTACATGCCAAATACTTGGCATGTCTAGGGGGTTTAACTAACAAATGTGTCATTGTGTTCAGAGTAAAAGCAAAGTTTCACGGCTGAAATTAAACTCTTTGTCTTCTGAAGGTGTGACTAAAGCACCCAGCTGAAGGTTGTGTTCTGGACCCAATGATGTTCTCAGGTAACACGCTCATTCAGCCATCAATTTTGGCCCGCAGACGCCCTTGTTGATTCCAAGTGTGCTGAAATCTGCTTCTTCCAATTACTGGAGGTCGAGTCGCTGGCAGGCATGAAAGAACAACTGAATGTAGAGCATCTGTTTTTGCCGTCTACCTTTCATACATCAGCATGTTTTATTGAAGGGCAGATGGTCTACCTACGGCTTGTGTGCTGTTTGTTGTTCCCCATCATGCCTGAGGGCTCTATATCATTCATTCCTCTTAATATAATGCATGGGGCTCTGACCCTTAATAGCATGCCACAAATATCAAACCAATCATGTTAAATAAGAATTACATCTGATGTCTGTGCAAACAGCACCTCCTTCTCTGCACAGCTACAGCTGGCATGACGCTCTAAAGCAACATGTGGCCGGATCTTCTGTACGTTTCTCCATGTCTATATTTCTACATTCTATTTATTATTAGTTCATTTTAAATAATTAACTGCATTAAATGAACACATTAAAATGACAACCCTATCATAGCCCTGTTATGTGTAAAAATTTGGCGCACAGTGGCAAAAGGACCATCAATTTATGGCGGTGTCCTTGTGCCCAGCTACTGTGTTTGCATTAATAAAACCCATCTGCCTCAGTTCGTGCTGGTTGTCTCCCTGAGCCTTCCTCTACATCAATGAAAAACAGCCCGCCTGCCATTCTCACAGGACTCTGATCGCAATAACATCTACAGTCTCTAACATCTTTTCAAACAGGGCACACAATCTCTCTCTCTGGCTGTCACTCATTTTCCCCACTGAAATTACAGCGTTTGGATGCCATGTGTGGTGCCTCACAAACTCTTCTTCACAGCTTGTGGGCTTGTTAACACAAAAGGGCAGTCAGTGTCATTGTAACTAAGTGTTCTTGGGTAAATTGGTGTGCAATCCACCTGGCTTAAAGGAATAGTTCACCCAAAAACTGTAGCTTTCTAATCAAATATAGCGCCATGGTCATGTCAGTTCAGATGTCATTTATTCTTGCATATCTTGTGAACGCAATTCAATGTCATTGGTGCTTATTGGTGTCGTTCCAAAATTGTATGACTTACTTTCTTCTGTGGAACATGAAGATATTTTTTCTTTACAATTGAAGTCGATGGTAACCAGTTCTATTTAGTTCCAACATTCTTTAAAATATAATCTTCTGTGTTTTACAGAAGAAAGTCATAAAAGTTTGGAAAGACAACAGGGTGAGGTAATGATGGGAGTATTTGCATTTTTAGGTGAACTAGTCCTTTAAGAACTACAGTGGATGGGAATTTTTTTTGTGAAAAATGGGTTAAAAGATTCATTTCTGGTGCTGTGACCCGGTGACTACTGTAGGTGTTGAGGAATAAAGGCTTGATATATAAGAGCAAAGATGAACCTCAGCAACCCAAAGTGCTGATAGAGTCAAAGGCCTCACTGCTGACTATCACAGCTATTTATACAAGTGAGTGAGTGGAGAAGTGGGAAGAGAAGAAAGAGAGGAAAAGAAGGAACATCGGAGGCCTTTTCTTTTGTGTGTGTGCATTGCTTCTAAACATGTAGCATATATCTTTAGGAATAAGAAAATGTTGTTGTCTACACAGTCTCGCGTCATTCCAAATCCATATGACCTGATTTCTTGATGTATAACACAAAATCAATTTTGAAAAACTATACAATAAAGAATGTAAAGCTTCTAGCTTCAAAAAAGAAAGAAAAAAAACAAGCTACATAAGTGGTCCATATGACTCAATTCTCTGCAGTGGTTCTCAAAACTGATTTTCATATCTGAATTTTAAAATTTGCTGCATCATATTTGTGTATGAGACACAGATGTGCAGGAAAAAAGCTACAAGATATCATATTTTGTGTTCCATGGTGAAAAGCAAGTCATCCAGGTGTGGAGCGACAAGTAAATAATGACAGAATTGCAACTTTTTTTTTTTTAAGCCAAATGTGTGCTTCTAGTATTTTATTATCAAAACACATTTTGGGTAAGTAAGTGTCTATGAAAATGCGCTAAAAAACATTATCCTGTATATTACAAGTAAATTAGAAGCAACAACTCAATCTGAAATGAATGTCTTCTCCATTGGAAGCCAAGCAATTTTGCTACAAATACAATACTTCATTTTCTCCACCTGTGGAGTGGCGTGAACACATATTCTTGGCATGACAGTAATGGGCTGCTGTGTCAACCTCATACACACACATACAGGCCCTCATCACTCAGTGTGTGTCTGTGGATCTGTCAACACCAGTGTACATCACAGATTCAGTGCCGCAGGTCTCAAATGCCGTGTGTAAAAATTCTCCCAGAGTCTGATTCCACCTCCGCAAGCATTAATGGGAACGAGAGACACCTGCTGAGAAACTCGAGCCCCAAAATGGCAGCCCTTATTCCACACCAAATGTGGAAAACAGGAAACTGAACCTGAGCCTTGTTTACTCTACCAGCTTAATCTTGTCAATAGCCTAATGACACAATCCATGCTCATTCAACAAGTGGCTGCAACATAAAGCATTGGTGACATTTCAAATGTGAACATTTTAAAGACTACATTTTAATTTACTACAGATACAATCTAGATTATCCATCTAATAGGCCTATCAGTCCGGTTCCTCCTTAAACAATCATAGAAAATGCAACACTGCACTCTTTTCATTTTTACATCTCTGTGCATCCCATAGGCGGAGCGTGTGTATTCCCCTGGCCACAGGGACTTGGGGCAGAAATGCCACTAAATTGGACAAAAATGCCCCTGCACAAACAAATGAAATCTATTACTGTCTGTTGCTAACAAAGTGAATATGAATAGACTGTGTCGATTGCGGCATTAAATTAAGATCTGCTCATGTTGCACTGTATTTCATTTTAGGCGTTTTTACAGTGTTGCGCATTTTAACCAATCACACACATATCTGTTGAGCTTAGGAATGCAATGGCCAATCAGAAGCGTTTAGATGAGTCATCAGTTTTGTTGAGTGCACGCACGTTCGCTGACTGAATTCCAGACTCTTGCGAATTCTCTCATCATAAACAACAAAGCGCAGATGTATGTACAATGTAAGTAAGAGATTAATTTAACAGTGTATACAGCTTCAGTGATTATAACGATAGTTTTGTTTTTTGGAGAGTGCTTAAACTCACGATAAATCAATGTTAGTGATAATGTCACTTTCTATATATAATTGATTCGCTGTTTTAAAACCGTGGAAACGTTGTAGCCAATAATGATCAATTTCTAACATTTTTATTAAATTGTAATCACGCTAAATACAAATTCAATCCAATTAAACATTTTTTTTTAGCCTACATGTCTGGTTCTTGCCTAAAAAGATGGGTTTATTATGTTTAATACATTTGGCTGCTTTTAGCCTTACCCTGGAGTTGGTTCACCCTCCGCCTATGGTGCATCCTAATTATTATTTTATGGCTGACCAATTATTATTTAAGTGTCTGACAAATATGCGCTTTTCAATTACAGCCGGGTGGTTGATGGCATAAAACCAAAATTACTTAAATTAATGTTCATTTTAGACAAATTTCACAATATATACATATATTTGAACAGTTTGGTTTAAATACATTTTAAAAACACTTGGACTGATTTGTGAATGAACATTCATTTAAAAAATTGAATGCAAAGATTTGTTCACAAATCAGATATTGTCAGTTTAAAAGCTTATAGGGATTTTAAATAGTAAAATATTTAACTGGACACATAAACTTGCGTATTTGGTTTATCCTACAGGTGTGAGTGGTTATGAGAAACCTGTAGGCTACTGAGATCTCAAAGGTAGCCTATTTATTTCATACAAGTTTCTGGAGTGAACTTATTTGTTAGAGTGAACAACAGGGTTGATGGCAAACATTAAAGAAAGTTGGCACAACCTAAGCGATGATAATAATGGTTAAGCCAACACTAAGGGGGTGAAAGGAACAGGTTGATGCCAGTGACTGAGTGTAGATCGTATTTTGTTGCGCATTATTGAGCGCCTCATGTCTGACTCAGTCACGCACATCAACCTGTTCCTTCAATGGCACCCATGACAGAAATTCAAAAAGCCATTTGACGGCGAAATAATACAGAATATCTACAACTGATACGTAGTAAAAACTCTAGTGACGGAAAAATCATTGAAGCATCATTGCGAACGTGACAAAAACATCGCGGAAAATGACAACTACTCCGCTCCAAGTGTTCACTTTGCGCACGTTATTGTAACGAGCATTTTCTTTTTCTTTCAATTTGAACCCGAATACGCACAACATGAGCAATTATGTCGGAGAAACACACGAAATGCGTTACATTTCCGAAATGTAAAGACATAAAAGAGCACAAAAGCTGAGTATTTAGTACACTTGCGTCAACATTAGCGTATACTCTGTTTAATAATTACGCATATTCCTCTGACCCAAAGAACAGACTTAACTTACCTCACACACAAAACATTGCCCTCTGAAATTATACACGGGTATACACACGGGTTCAGCTGACGGCAGAAATGATCTCTATCACAGCGCAAACAAGATGATATTTCGGGAATATTCCGTAAAATCTGACAACTCCACGCGCTTCGCCATTTGACGGCGAAATAATACAGAATATCTACAACTGATACGTAGTAAAAACTCTAGTGACGGAAAAATCATTGAAGCATCATTGCGAACGTGACAAAAACATCGCGGAAAATGACAACTACTCCGCTCCAAGTGTTCACTTTGCGCACGTTATTGTAACGAGCATTTTCTTTTTCTTTCAATTTGAACCCGAATACGCACAACATGAGCAATTATGTCGGAGAAACACACGAAATGCGTTACATTTCCGAAATGTAAAGACATAAAAGAGCACAAAAGCTGAGTATTTAGTACACTTGCGTCAACATCAGCGTACTCTGTTTAATAATTACTCATATTCCTCTGACCCAAAGAACAGACTTAACTTACCTCACACACAAAACATTGCCCTCTGAAATTATACACGGGTATACACACGGGTTCAGCTGACGGCAGAAATGATCTCTATCACAGCGCAAATATCAAAACATGCAAAAAAATAAGAAATCAGGAAGGGGGCCAACACTTTTTCACACCACTGTGTGTATATATATATATTAATGAAAGTTATTATAAAGTGTTTAGGCCAGTTCACACCTACGATAATGATAAAATATTGTCTATAGTTTTAAAACTGGTTCTAAATGTAAAAGTATAGTATAGTCCACACTACTATAATGATAAAGACACAGAGGAATGCTATCATTGGAATACTTTCAGAATATTTTTTTTTCCCAGCAGAAAAACAATAAAAACATTGCCAGTCAATCAGAATCCATCCTGCTTGAGGATTTAAAGCGGCAGACGACAAAACTGCAGCACTCACTTAGAATAAACAGAATGTTATCGTCCATTGGTGTGGAAGCTAATATAGTTATCGTTCTTGGTGTGATCGAGCCTTTACTGAAAATGTTGGAAAAGAGCAACATGGACATTCTGCTAAACATCTCATTCTGTGTTCTATGGAAGAAATAGTCATGCAGACGTGGAATGACATGAGGGTGAGTAAATGATGACAGAAGATTAATTTTTTTATTAATTATTCCTATTTCTCTGCCCATCCATCAGATGAATGGATGGGTTTATCCTTGACTCATGCATAAATAGATTATGAAATGAAACACGAGGGCTCAAAGAGTGAGACTGAAGCTAATTCCAACCTGCAAGATCATTTCATCTGTTCATTCATGTCTGGAAGTGCGACACTTTGCAACTATCATTAACACTTAAGCCAGAACATATTGGTATGAGCAGTTTCTGGAATGCCACATCTCAAACATAAACATCATGCTTATCGAGGTCAAAACACCAGAATCAACAGCAGGCAATTTAATGCTAAGCTTCAGTCTCAGATGCTTTGCATTGCGTGCTGCCAGCATTTGAAGCACATAACCCAAACCCTTTATTTGAGATATCTCACCTCAGAGGCAAACACAGAGCTGTACTGTTTGGATTTCCAGCATAACTGTAGTGGCGTCAGAGGCAGGAACCGTCTGAAAAGAGAGAGGACAAAGACTGGAAGAGTCAGTGGCACACCTGATACTCTCTGCTGGGGAGAGAAAGCTCAAGCCCAGGGGAGGGTCACTGCTTTTCTGTAGCACTGAACAATACAGACAGAGAGACTGCTGGGGGAAAAAAAAACCTGCTTGTGAGAAGGATGATGCAGGACACTGTAATTTCTCTCGATTTCTTTTAAAGACCATATGAAAGTAAAATGAAATGTTTGTGGCTAAATTAATGTCCATTAGGTTTAAGGTCACTTACTGTATATGCTACTACTAAAAGTTAAACATTTAGCAGATATACACTAATGTTCAGAAGTTATGGTTAAGATTTGTAAAATAAAATAATACAGTTAATAATACTTACTTAATTTAGAAAGGATGCATTAAATTGACCTAAAGTGACAGTAAAGACATTCTATTTCAAATGCTGTTTTTGATACTGTAAACAATCACGGTTTTCATAGAAATATTAAGCAGCACAACTGTTTTTGAAATTTATAATAAGAATAATTTTTTCAAAAGCAACCAAATCAGCATATTAGAATGATTTCTGAAGGATCATGTGGCACTGAAGACTGGAGTAATGAAGCTGAAAATTCAGCGTTGCCATTAGGAATAAAGTTAATTTTAAAATACAATAAAAAAAGAAACAGTAAATAGAAAACAGTTACTTTAATTGTAGTGATATTTCACAATATTCCTGTTTTTCCCCTGTATTTTTAATTAAATAATTGCAACCTTGGTAAGCATACTTCTTTCAAAAACATTTAAAATCTTACCAACTCCAAAGTTTTGAATTGTTTTGTAACAATTTTAAAGTGTCCCTGTTTTTGTAAATGTAATAACTGATGACTTATCTTGTGCTAATAGAAGAATGTGGTTTTGCCAATAAGCAAGCAAGCAAATAAATAAAATAAATAAAGAGTTTTTTGGGGAAAAAAATAATTTCAATATGGGTTCCTGTTTTAATAGGAAATAAACAAAAGAAAGAAATTTGGAGTCTTAAATTATGAACAATAATGTTTGTTTGTTTGTTCATTTATTTATTTAAAAATAAACATTAATTAACATAAATTGTAAGAGCTGAAACCTTTTTTGACATTAAATTCAACATGTAATCAAAATTATTAAAATTTTTTAACTATACACGTATCTGTTCTTTTTTAAGAATAATTTTTATTTTTCATAATCATATCAATTTTCTTCCCCACTAAAACAACTTTCTTTCTCAGTTTGTCAACAGCTTCTTCCCTTCAGCTACCTGTCATATAGAAACAACTGTACACAATCCAATAAATTCCCCGTTGATAAAGTCCCACCCTGCATTTCTTTCTTCTTAAATATCATTTTAGATATTTTATATAGTTAGACATTTCTGTGCAAAACAGCTTTATTCAACATATTTCTGTAAAGTATTTATGACATCCAGAATTCAGTGTTGCTAGTCAGCTGTTGCTACAATAATTATATTACTGAACAATGCAACTGATTCTGAAGTCAAATACCTTAATAAGAATCGGTTTAAAGGAAACATGATTGCTGAAGAGGAATGTGATACTCGCTGGCACGAGGATGATCATTGTTTAAAAAAAGGAACAGCGATAGATGGAGAAAATGACAGAGAGAGAGTGAGCCGAGCTACAGAGACGAGACTAAAATGAGACTAAAATGTCAGATGAGTCACAGTCGTTCCAGTGAGACAGCGAGCCGTAATATGTTTCCATTAGCTTGAATGGAGGCAGAAAATTTACAGTGATGCTGTCAGGGGAAGCAACTCATAATCTGATCTAAATGGAACTACTCATGCCGCACTCGACCAGGAAAATAAAAACACAGATCTGACCTACTGAAAACAAACCATGACACACCCTCATAGTTCAGATGCCATCCTTTCACCAAGACGACGACAACTCATCACTTTTGTATTTAGGCCAATATTTAATTAAATCAGTGGAAAAGAATTTGGAACATGGCAGTAACTCGTTCCACTGCCCCTATGTGAGAGCTGGACCAGAAATAGATGGTGTGCCAGGCATGCTGGAAGAGATCCAGAGTACCCCAGCTCTCCAGAGACAGGCACCCTGCCATCTTTCACAATCTCCCTTCAGATGGACCGGCTGAAGTTGGGAGGTTTGGCCTTGCCTCAGGCATCTGCTAACACATCTAGACATCTTGCCCATGAGCTCACAGATCCATTGCCTATAGCTGTAACCAGATCTCTGGATTAATTGAACGTTTGGGTTCAGAACAAGTTAAGCTCTATCAACGGTATCTGTGGCATGCTGTCCATTAGCACACTTCATTTTGGCTTGGCTCTCAATTTGTAAGCAAACAAAAAATGCAGTTACAGTAATGAATGTACAATTTGTGCAGCTTGTATTTTTCTTAAAGCTTTATTAATGTTAACAAACTTGTGATGTTTATGTCTTGTGGTGTTACTTTTGAAACTTCCATTGAAAATACATTGTGATTTTTAGTTGATTTAGAAGTTACTAATTCAGTTCAATTCACGTTTATCTGTATAACGCTTTTCACGATACATATTGTTTCAAAGCAGCTTTATAAAAAAATGAAGGTGTCAATGTAATGTCCATATTGCAGAAATGTACAGTTCTAAAGGCCCGTTCACACCAAGCACGATAACTATAATAAAGGCCCGTTCACACCAAGCACGATAACTATAAAGATAACGATAAAGATATAGTTCTAAAAATCGTTCTCAGTATTAAAGAATAGCATAGTTCACACCATAACTATAACGACAACGATACAGAGAAATGATATCGTCGTGATCGCTTTCAAAACGATTTTTTTCCAGCTGATGAACGATAAAACACTGACAGCCAATCAGAATCCACCCTGCTGTAAAACGAGCTCAAGAATTTAAAGCGGCAGACACACGTGCGCTTAGAATAAACAGACGATATCGTTCGCTGGTGTGGACACTGATATCGTTATCTTTATAGTTATCATTCTTGGTGTGAACGGGGCTTAAGATTCTACAATTTGAGCAGTTAGTTATGGTCACATATTCATTCATGCAGAAACAATAAACATATTAAAGCAATGATTACATGATGTGATCACGATGATTACAATATAATAAGCTGTCTGTGGTAACTGACCAAAGAAATGACACGGATGCTGTGAATGTAGTTGTAGAAAACGCTGTAGACTTTTTCCTGGAATTATAGTTTTGTGAATGGAAACAAAGCGTAGATATACATGTATAGTTTGTTAGGCCCTGTCATTTTTAAATTGACAACCCATGGTCATTGTTTTGACATATATATTCAATATTTAATTGGTTGAAAAATCAACAGAAAGATGTACAACACTACAACCCCTAAACTGACTTTGATCCGTCACAGCCTCACTTTCATTCATCAAAAAATAAAGGTGGATTATTTTCTCAAAAATATTCATGCAACTGAACTTGTATTAAACCCAGAACATTCCTTTAAAGCAATGGTTTCAATCAGGAACCCGGGGGCCCACTAGGGGGCTTGAA